CCGAAAAGCCATCCCGTAGCCCGGGAGCGCTACTTTGATGCCGTCCGGTGTCAAAACCTTGCTGGAACAAATTCTCTAAATTTCAAGGTGCGTTCCCAGGCTGCCGGACTACCGTCAGGAACAAGCACAGAATTTGTTCCATCAAGGATCAGCTGCTACGGCCCCCCGAAAAGCCATCCGCGTAGCACGGGAGCGCTACTTTGATGCCGTCCGGTGTCAAAACCTTGCTGGAACAAATTCTCCAAATTTCAAGGTGCGTTCTCAGGCATCAGGACTATCGTCAGGAAAGCACAGAATTTGTTCCAGCAAGGTTCAGCTGCTACGCCCTCCCGAAAAGCCATCCGCGTAGCACGAAACCGCTACTTTGAAGCCGTCCAGGGATTATACCTTGCTGGAACAAATTCTCTAAATTTCAAGGTGCGTTCTCAGGCATCAGGACTACCGTCAGGAACAAGCACAGAATTTGTTCCAGCAAGGTTCAGCTGCTACGGCCCCCCGAAAAGCCATCCGCGTAGCACGGGAGCGCTACTTTGATGCCGTCCGGTGTCAAAACCTTGCTGGAACAAATTCTCTTAATTTCAAGGTGCGTTCCCAGGTGGCCGGACTACCGTCAGGAACAATCACAGAATTTGTTCCAGCAGGATTCAGAAGCTACGGCCCCCCGAAAAGCCATCCGCGTAGCACGAAACCATTACTTTATAGCCGTCCAGGGCCTATACCTTGCTGAAACAAATTCTCTAAATTTCAGGGTGCGTTCCTAGGCTGCCGGACTACCGTCACTCTAGAAACCTAAGTGTGTACTTGAACACACACTATTTTGCACACCTACATGTATGCAGAATATTCTGTGTACTTGGCAAGAACACAGAATATTGTTTGTACCTGATCAAGTACACACAATATTCTGTGTACTTGCCAAGTACACAGAATATTCTGCATACATGTTAGGTATGCAGAATATTGTGTGTTCAAGTACACACTTGGGTTTCCAGAGCAGGAACAAGCACAGAATTTGTTCCATCGAGGATCAGCTGCTACGGCCCCTCGAAAAGCCATACGCGTAGCACGGGAGCCCTACTTTGATGCCGTCCGGTGTCAAAACCTTGCTGGAAAAAATTCTCTAAATTTCAAGGTGCGTTCTCAGGCAACAGGACTACCGTCAGGAACAAGCACAGAATTTGTTCCAGCAAGGTTCAGCTGCTACGGCCCCCCGAAAAGCCATAAGCGTAGCACAAAAACGCTACTTTGAGACCTTACAGTAGGGCGTCCCACTTATCGCCAAATTTCGATATTTGATGCGGACCTGGTCTCAAACGGTCACTTTTGGTTCAAGTTCTTCAGATTTCTTGGTCCGGTCAATTTTTGACCCCCCTTGGCCGTGCCCCAGGGGCCTAAGTGCAGCCAAACCAAAGATTTTTTAAAAATTTCGGGAAAAATCTTCTTTCTTGAAACACATCATTTTACGAGCCTATGGGCCTTGATTTTGTCTGTTTTGCTCTAACTCAAACCGTTTTCGAGATACGGGCAAATTTGTCCTTAAAACATAGCAAAAATGTGAACTATTTGGTACTATTTCGAAAATTATGCCTAGAGATCCCAATTTTGATGGTATCAACACGTACGATAGCTTGTTTTAATCAACTTTTTATGCTCTTTCATTTAAAATTTTGTCCGAGTTGATCCGACTTAAAACAAAAAAATTAGCATTACCCATTTTTGCCTGAAAAGTGGTTAAAATTGCAAAAAAGCACCAATGCTAACTTTTTGAAAGAGCATAAAGCGCAAATTGCCTACCTTTTAGGCGGCTCTCTAAAGACGACAGGGGGGGGGGTCACCTCCCCCTTAATCCGCGCCTGGCAGGGGCTAGGGGCCTTGCGGGCGAAAGTAGGCAAACCTGCATCACCACTCTAAACGCCGAGGTCACTTTGCGAATGCCAAAATTTTGCCTGTCCCTTCCGACGGCCAAATTGTGGCATTCTTTCCAAGATTGCAAATTTTTGGCCTGTTCAGACCGTCCATTAGACCGTCTACTGAAAGAAAAAGGGGCTTCCCTTAATTGACCTGAAACCGAATCGCACCCTTTTATCGTGTTGCGTCACGTCAGGCTGTTGAACTTGTTCTGTATTGTCCCAGATTATCAAAAACGTTCTTGGCGGATCGAACAATTTAGTTTTTCTGTAGAGCAATAAAAACAGTATTGATGCTAGAAAGAACTCGTTTAATAGTTTTACACGGAAAAAAATAAGAAAGCTGTGATAGCTAATGTGTTAGCTGCCAGCGTGACAAGCAATGCGTTAGCTGTGAGAGCTAATCTCTGTCTGTGAGAGCCAAGCGATGTTTACTATAGCAGATAATCACGTCGGCTGTAAAAACTAATGCGGGAGAAAGTTTCTATAAGATGTTAAAACTTAAATTTTTCCAGAGTTGTTCCATTTACGTTGTTTAGGGTGCGTCCTTCCTCACTTCTACTGCCCTTAACAAGGAATTAGAACCGACCCGAGTGGGTGTTGAACCCTCGCCCATCGGCGCTGCGCTCCGACTTGGAGGCACTGAGCCACTGCGCGCGTTGAAACTGGGATGAAAAGCAAGCATCAAGTGGGAACTCGGAAAAACAACCTGGATGTTTGGGCTTCAGCCCTAACAGCTAGTAAAATTCGCTTGACCAGACAAGACGTAAGCTGCCATAAGCAAACTCTGCTAAGCCGCGGTAGCTGTTGAGGGATTGGTTGGTAGAGCTAATCTTTAGTTGGCCCACCCCATTCATATTTTGTTGTGGCTGTTGGCTGCTGGACACAACATGCCTCAGCCAACACAGATAAGAAAATTTAGTCACACGAGCTTAGGGGCATTTAGCTACAAGAAACAGACTTTCTCGTTTCTCACAACTAAGAATTAAGCATATTCAACAAATACATTTGTTGTACTGGTCGAACACCTTGCTTGTCACGCTGACAGCAAACACGTTAGTTGTCCTAGCAAACGTTGTGAGGTACAATTATGTTCAGGGATCCTAAGGGGATGGAAAAAAGTTTAATACTGACGGAACAGCTTAGATTTATTAACTAGTCAGCCTTTTAGGAGTGTAACAATCACACACAAATTGTTATTTATTTTAGATGTCATGGCACTTTCGAAACAATTTTTCCTCTTATTTTAAAGGATATACGCAGGTAAAATAGGACATTTGGAATTTTTTTTAAAAAAATAGTACTTAACATGGTAATAGAAAAATTTAGAGATCCCTGTTTCCTAACGCAGTTTTCCATTTAAAAAATATAGACCTTAAACTAGTCAGCCTTTTGAAGTGTAACGGTCACAGTAAAATTACCAATTCTATTACATGCAATGGCCCT